GCCTGGCACATTGTAGGCATTTGTTACTGGTAGTGTGATGTATTATTAGCTATTTTTACAATTGGGGTATTTCAAAGGTTCATTTGCAAGTTCAGTAGCAAGGATGAAAACTGTCATTCTTTTTTTCTCTATGGAGAAAATCTTCCAAGTCTTTATTTGATTCCTAGGAAAGCACAGGGCAGCCTATTTAACTCTCTCTCTCTATAAGGAACCCTTTATACTGATGCCCTAGGCTGAATTCCAGAGCCTAAGAGAAGCCATGAGAACAAAAGTGAAGAGGACAAAAAAGTTTTCTGTCTTTTATTTCAGTTTAAACAGTTTGTCAGGTTTTTTAAGATTATAAAAAATGTACATTAAAAAACATTGAAAATTCCGGTATAATATAAAAGAAAAAAAAAACAAAAATAATCTGTGATTCTGTCAGTCTACATTATTGCAGTGTTTTTCTTGGTGTTAGTTTTTAACAAAATGGGAATCATGCAGCACGTACTATTTATTAAGAACTTCTCTCTTATCAAGATATCAGTAACATTCTTGGACATTGTGATGTTTATTGACTACGTTATATACCATATTAGGAATAAACCATGTTTGCTTTACCTAGCCTGCTACTATTGGAAATAGGGGTAGCAGTGAATTTTTGCTATTGTAAATAATGGTGTCATGAACTATCTTCACCATAAATCTTGGCTACAGCTCTGTTACTATTTTAGAAATAATTCTTCAGAATAAAATTAACAGGAAATGAGGTATGACATTCTTGGGATTTTTGATGCTTACTGGTGTATTGTCTCCCAGAAAGAATGTGCAAATTTAGGTGGCTGAAAACAACATATAAAATTGACTATTTCCCTCTATTCTCATTGAGATTGAGTATAATCAGTTTTTATCCTTTATTAGTCTGGGAGATGGCAAATAATACCCGACCTGTCTTTAAAGTTCAGAAATTGTATGTTTGTCCTCATCTGTTTCTGGAACCCAAATCCCATCTTTTAGGCCTCAGTTCCTAAATCATGGGGGTGCTTAGTGCCCCATATTGGCCCTCAATATCCTGCTCTTCTCCCCTAAGAGCATTTCTTTTCCCCCCATCAAGACATTCTTGGCCTAAAAGGTGTTGCTTTCCTGTTCTCCTCATTGGACATGTCTATTCTTTCAAAGCTATTTATCTCAAGGAGGTTTGGGAAAAAAGCAGTCGGATAAGGTGATTTCTTCCTAATTGTTGAATAATTAATAGAACTTCCACTTTTACCTTTTTTTTTTTTTTTTGAGACGGAGTCTCGCTCTGTCACCCAGGCTGGAGTGCGGTGGCCGGATCTCAGCTCACTGCAAGCTCCGCCTCCCGGGTTCACGCCATTCTCCTGCCTCAGCCTCCCGAGTAGCTGGGACTACAGGCGCCCGCCACCTCGCCCGGCTATTTTTTTTTTTGTATTTTTTAGTAGAGACGGGGTTTCACCGTGTTAGCCAGGATGGTCTCGATCTCCTGACCTCGTGATCCGCCCGTCTCGGCCTCCCAAAGTGCTGGGATTACAGGCGTGAGCCACCGCGCCGGGCCCCACTTTTACCTTTAACAGAGTATTCTTAATAACAAAACCTTGGAGAGTCTCTAGGGATATTATTTTGGATCTATTAACAGAATGAAGTGAAAACGAGGACCAGTTGAAAGTGGAGATTTTTAGCTGGGGATGTACCACTTCACTTACCTTGGAACCCGTGCCCGAGCAGCTCTCCTGGGCTAGTTCCAATTTCTCAGCTTCTTTCCTTTCTCTTCTGACACCTCCAATGACGTGGCTCCCGACTCTGGCTGCACAACATAATTCCAAGTCCTGGGATAATCCCCAGAAATCTGACTTAATTAACCTGGAGTGATCCCCAGGTTCTGTATTTTCAAAAGCTCCCCAGGCAATACCTGCATCGAGAACTATTGTTCTAATAATTTTCCTCCGCAGAGCTAAACTTTTCACCCAGGCTCCCCCTGCAGGGACTGGGGACCATGTAGAAAAAGGCCAAATCAAAGAAAAGGCAAACCAAAAAAAAAAAAAGAAGAAGAAGAAGAAGAAGAAGAAAACAACCAACCAAGCAAACCCTCATTATGTAAAAACTTGAAAGAGAGAAATGGATGGCGATGTGGGGAGAGGACAAGACCCACAATCAGAACAGATGATCCTACAGACACCCATTGAGCAGACCTCTCCTCTCAGGCCAGTGCCATCTGTAACATGAATAGATGGTAGATAACTAATTGGAGGGGACACTTACTGTGGCCTCTATAAATACATTCTTCTCTACTGTAGCCCTGATGCCTAGCAGGGTGCTTGGCCTTTAGGGAGTATTTAGAACTTTTATTCTGAACTAGTTACTAATGCCCTTCCAGTCTAGAGTCTACCTGCAGATACAGTCCCATATGTTATGCGGATGTATTCAAATGAGTATGCAAATGAACATGTTTAAAAAGGACTTACAATTGACTGTCTTCCCCAAATACCCCTGAAAGAAGTCAAATGTTCATCACCAAGAAACACCTGACAGATTCTCTGTCTCATTAGCAGAATCCCTGTGTCCAGGACCCAAACCCTGGTCTTGTCTGAGGACAACTGCCTTTGGGAGGAAGTGGGGCCACCAGGCTGAGAAGCCTCTGGGTTCTCTTCTTCACCCCAAGCAGATGTTCAGGGTTGCAGTGGAGACTAACTTTGAGAGATCTGGCTGAAAACACATCGGGTCTCCTATATCTGGGATGCACTGAGCAGATGGGTCACAGCTGCCCAGGTGCAAATACAGCTGGGTTCCAAGCCTGGTGCTGTGCTTCTCCCAGGGCAGCCTGGGAGCTCAGGGGCTCCAGCCATCTGGGAGCTGAGGGGCACCAGCTCTTCACTTGCCACTCTGAGGGTCTGCCACACCTCTGTGGTGATCCTCAGTGTTTTCTTCCCAGCTGGCTGCTTTGGGGCTGCTCCAGTAGGCTCTACCAAGGCAGGTCTGTTTTACCTGCAGAAATAGCTCTAAATCCATCACTTGCTTTGCATTTTCACTGCTGCTACTTTAGGTGAGATCTTCTCATTCTGCCTCCGGGGACTCTGCAAGCAATAGGACCTGTGAGTTCTGCCTCCAGCCTTGACCCCTCCCAGCTGCTACCATTGGCTCTTGTGCTAGCTGATTCTTTGAATAAACATCTCCAACCCTGATATTACCATCCTAGAGAGCCCTCATGGACTCCCATGTTCTAAAGCTGTAATTTTCATCTTTGGCTGCACATTAGAACCACCCAAGGAGCTTTTTAAAAAATGTAGATGCTTAGGGCCCATCCCCAGAGATGCTGATAGAATCGGTTTGGGAAAAGTGCTCTTCAGAATCATTTGTCAAAGGATATTGTTTAAAGTCCTCCCGAGCCTGGCATGTGAGACCCCTGGGAGATTGGATCCTCTTTCCAGCTGCCTTCATATTGGCATCTCCTGCTTCTCAGTCCAGACCTTTGTTTCTTTATACAGGCTCTGTGTCTCCTGGAACCCTTGCTCCCAGAATCACAAACTCTTGCTCGTTTTCCACAACTCCCCTTAACTGTCACCCACTTCTGTGAAACATTCTTGGGATCCTCTCATGGAGTTAGTTAGACTTTCTTTCTTCTCTGCTCATATGTTGTTGTTCCACCCAGAATTGCAAAAGGTGGTGTTGTTTGCTTACTTCTCTGTCTACCCCGCTAACCTGAACTCAAAAGACGTTATTTTAATCTTCCTTGCATATCTCTCTGCCTCTTAACAATGGACTACCCTAGGGTAGAGATCATGTGATGTTAATATCCATACCCTCTAATGCCAAAGACCATTTCGTATTTGTCGCTCTGTTCATTTTTTAAGCTAACATGACTGCCAGCGTATGATTGAAATGACCTATTCTGCATTACCTGCTGGACTAACTGGTGTTATCCCCACAATGGCCTGTTAAGTACAGTCATTGTCCTCTTTGCAAGTGAGGAAACTGACACAATGAGAGGAAAGACAACTCAACATGTAACAGGGCACAATAAATGACTGTTTAGAATTTAGAATTGTGTGGCTATGTGCTCTTGCCACAGAAACTCTTTGTAACCAATCAGTTAATATGCTTTTATTTTCTTCAGCAAGCACTTCGCACCAACAGGACACAGAGTCTTCGTAGATGATAAACTCTTTAAAGGAAATAGTTGAAACCTCATGACTAGTTCCCAATACAGTTTCCTCAGTAAAGTAGGTCAGCAGCACAGGGTACACGAAAGACAGCTGGAGCAATGGAATAGGAGAGAAAAGAACTTTACAAAACCACCCACCTTTCTTCCAGTGCCTTTAGAGACAGTCATGCCTCATTTCATTCGATCCCTTTGACAGTGATAAGGGGCAGGAATTATAATATTTACAGATGATAAAATCAGAGCTTAATGAAGGTGAGTAACTTAGACAATGTCACCTAATTTAGAATGAAAAACGCTGCAACTGGATTAGTATGTTACCTCTCTCCAACTGGAGGCTGCCTCTGCCTGGTACATCATTGGAATCCAGCTTTCCTCATCTACTTTAAAAATAGCTCACTTTTTCCTAAAATTGTTTGTAGGAAAGCATGAGAAAACTAAAATTGCCCGTAACTCTACCACTCAGATAAAATTGCTGGTAATATTTTGAGTTCTTTTATTTTTCTGTTTTTTTTCCTCTGCATTTATACAACAACAGATCAGAATATGTGACATAACTTTGGTTGTGATATGTACAACATTTTGTATTTTTCCCTTTTGTTTTTAAACAAAACATATCAGAAGCAGTTTAGCCATCTTTTTTAAAAAAGAAAGAGATTAGAATGAAGTGGTACAAAGAGGAAGAGCAGTGCTTTTTATGAACCTTCCAAGGGCTTGTATCCAGCCGAGTGAGGAGTGGGTTTGCTCTGAGAAGGGCATGGACGGCAGCAGGCTGGGAAATAAGCCCCCCTTCTCCAGGCCTTCCGGACCCATCATCTCTAGGCTTGCTCTCTTGTTTCTCTTGCAGGCAGCAACTTGAATGATGGCTTGTGGCACTCAGTTAGCATCAATGCCAGGAGGAACCGCATCACGCTCACTCTGGATAATGAAGCAGCACCTCCAGCTCCTGACAGCACTTGGGTGCAGATTTATTCTGGAAATAGCTACTACTTTGGAGGTAAATTCTCCAGCCTTTAAGAGGGAAAATAAAGAAGGGAGGGAAAATGAAGTGGGCAATTATTTCACTATGGTGGTTCTGGCTTGGTCAATTAGACAATTATCCCCCCCGCCCAACATACACACACACATCCTCAATCTCAAAATAGTGAGAAGCAAAATCTCTCACAGCTGTGGGCAAATATAAATTATCTAGGTCAGTGCTGAGGAAGAAAAGAACTTTAGCTACAAGAGCTGGTGTTATATAACACATCCAAAGGAGATTTTTGTAGCCATGCCAAGCCCTGTGATCACATGGGAAAGGAGAAACTCAGTTCGAAACTTGGAGAAAGTGTATCAAGAGTCAGCAGTACCTGCAAGAGGCAAAATCCAGGTGGAAAGGCACAACCAGCATGCTCAGCACCTGGGTCCCTCCTCTGCCACTTTCCTCTCTTAGTCCCCTGTCCCCTCCTTCCCCACATTCCTAGAGATCATGCCCACAGAGAGCCAGGAATGAGGTGGAACTAGGAGGCCCACGAACTTGTAACTCCACGTGTAGAAGCCAGTTCAGATTGTTCAGATTCTGCCTTCTCTGATGTTAAGTGAATCCTGGGAACCTTTCCAATGACAGGAACACAAGGGCAAGCTGATGGTGAAGAAAAACATATAATTAGGCATCTACTGAATTTTTATAAATGCATATATATGTATGTATTTAGTCTTTCAAAAGTATTTTTCAATAAAAATTAATATCTAGTTTCATAGTTAGTTGTTTGTATTATAGAAACAATCTCTGAAAATGATGTAACCTCAATAGCTGTCTGACCTTGAGAAAGGTACTTATAGTCCCTAAACTTCCTAATCTGAAACATGGGGAAATAAGTTCACCTCCAAAATTTCAGGAAAAGTTAAGTACGACCAAGGTTTAAACGTATAGCACAGAGTGTGCCACATGGCAGGGGATGGGGAAACTGGCTCCACCTCCTTTAGATATAAGTCAGGGTCTGGTCTACAGTTTCCTTATTCTTTTCCTATTAGTAAATTGAAGAGAACTATTGTATAAAATTATGCATAGTCTCTTAAACAGAATTTACAGGTCACTTCTCTCATACCAATGGAATGTGGTTAAAGCTTTAAAATGCAAAAGGGATTTTGCACAGGTGCAGTGTATATCTCAACATCTCCTAGGGGGGAAGCAATATCTTTGTGGCTTGATTTTAGGGTGAGGAAGGGCCTATGACCTTTACCTCAAATCTCCTCCCCCTGTGCATGGCTTAACAAATTCCTTTAGGAAGGGAATACACGTCCAGTCTCTGCAAAAGTTGTATGACTTACCTCATTTAATTCATGCAGAAACCTTGTGCAGTACATAATACCCCCACTTAATAGATAATAAAACTGGTATTTGCTGAGATGAAAGAGTTTGTGCAACGCCATAGAGCTCATGAATTCAAATCCAGGTCTGTGTTCCCACAGCCCACCAGTGAAAACAGAGATTGGAACAAATGTATTATAAAGATCATAGAACAAGGGTGTTGGGGTCCACAAAGATAACCTCACAGACCGAATAATTGTGCATCTTATGCAATATTTCAGCATCAGAGGGAAAAACGCTATCTTGAATTTATTCTTGAGGGAAATGTTTGTTACTAATCCTGATACAATAAGCATCTGACATGCCTCAGAGACAAAATGGCTCTCCTGCCTCAGTTGAAGGAGTGTTCTTAGAGGCAAGTTTTAAGGGACCCTGGGTTTAGAATGTGAAGATTTATCAGTGATTTGAACAGTGTTTAAACAAATGCCCCACACGTAGACTGTAAACTTAAGGAAGGTCAAAAATGAGTTTCAGTAATAATAGTCAACTTATATAAATTCTCTCTACAGCTTCAATTAGAAGTTGAAGCATCTCTCTTCGTTTTATAGTGTGCCTGTGAGCTGTTAACCAGCTGCTGGGCTTCAGCCCAGCAGTGACTGTCTATTAAAGATGGCTGAAATAATTCCCAGTTATTTATGGGTTATTACCATGGTTTTAAGCTTGCATTCCCATATGCTCTGAACCTATTAAAGCCATTGGGATGGAGTTTGTAAGGAGCACGAGCACTCATATCCCTGAAAGGCTCTATACCCATCTTAATGAGAAGTAGATATGCCCTGGTTGCAAGCTACACTAAATCAGTGTAATTTTTTTTTAAGAACACCCTTTAAAAAGGTATAGTGTTAACCTTTCCCATATGCTATTACAGCCCTAAAATGACATGCATTTAAACCCTTAGTTCCTTCTAAAACCAGCAAAATGTCTGATTTTGCTTTGCACATCACGTCAAAATTCCAGTTATGCTCCTGTGTGTACCTTTCTCAGGAACTAAGCCTGTTAATGCTAACAATTAACCGGACAATTCCTCTGCTGCCATCCCTACCCAACCATCCCTACCCAAAGCATAATTTCCTTTGAAAGCGTAATTCAGAATTGAATTGTGCATTTAGATATGTATTTCAAGACAGAACCAAAATTCTGAAGTAGCTATAATACGTTTCTTCCTTGGGGTGAGTGAAGGATGCCATATGAAAGAATAGAAAATAGCTTACCCCAAGGAAAAAAAAAAGTAAGAAGGAGACACCTGTTACAGTATTGATATTCCCTTTGCCATGCTTTTTATTTTCTCTACAGTGATGGAGTATGCCCTATTTTGTATCAATTCTGTCCCCTCCCTGAGAATGCTAGGATTTACAACAAAAAGGGTGTGCACTGTTGTGAATGAGAAAGCACCAAAATAATTAGACCTCAAGGTCTTCCATCAATAGGTCACCAAAGCAATGACGGATCATTTCAGCATTCTTCTTCATCTTTTTTCTCTGTCCCACAGGGTGCCCCGACAATCTCACCGATTCCCAATGTTTAAATCCCATTAAGGCTTTCCAAGGCTGCATGAGGCTCATCTTTATTGATAACCAGCCCAAGGACCTCATTTCAGTTCAGCAAGGTTCCCTGGGGAATTTTAGTGATTTACACATTGATCTGTGTAGCATCAAAGACAGGTAATTATTGTCTCTTCTCCTCTGTTCTCCCACCCCCTTCCCATTCTCACTGTTCTAAATATGAATTTCTTTAAGCAAAATTCTAATCCACCGACATTAGCCACATTAGACATAATTGAGTTGCCTAATGGAAAATATTTCTGAAAGGATTTCAGGCCCAGAGAAAAATGGTTTAAATTAGTTGAGTCTCTCTTCATGTTGACTTGCAGTAAATGGGATATGCAAATTAAATCAAAATACAAATTTGTGAAAGGATTAAAATTTTATGCATAAACAACATTTGATTACTTTGAAGTTAAAGCAAAAAGGAGGAAGGAATTACTTCTCTCCTAAACCATTTCATTTTTCACTGCTGTGTGTGTCCTTTCTAACACAGACAGATGAGCATCGGACCATCTGGGAAGTCTGCAAAAGAGGTTCACGAATGCCCAATAACATACAACTACTCCTGGATTTGCCTGTTTTTTGGTCTTACTGCCCCTACCACTGCTTCTCTGGTCCAGAGGAGATCAGAAAAACTCACTTTAGCTCTCCATTTCCCCTGGGATCTTGCTCTCCTTATAATAGAAGTTTCTAAATGCAAAGACACACTGCAGAAAACCAAAGAGGATGGATTCTGAATTTACATCAAAGTTTACCATGTTCTTCTTCTTTCCTCTCCAGAGCCTACTTCCTTCATTCTTCCAGTTCTTCTCACCCTTGTCAAAATATCATTTATAGAATGGGTGAATAATATCTGTTCAGTGCTTGCCTATGTGTTGATGAGACAGGGTCTCTGCTTATGTTTCATCAGGGAATAAATTAGCCATTACAATAAAGTGAGATACATGACCAAGAAGTGCACCCTTATTTGTCAGACACACAGCAGCAGCAACTTAGTCTGACCCCAGAGAATGAGTCCAAGAAGGTTTCAGAAGATAATGCTGAGTTGAATCTTAAAGGAGAAGACACTGGCAGGCTAGGCTGAGGTTGAGAGGGGAAGGGAGATTGGCATAGAAGCAGGAGAAAGCATGGATTGCAAGTATTTCATCAACTCAAAATACTTTTTTGGCATTTGAAATCTCTAATAGTTGAGTTGGCAATATCTATTTTTCATAGTGGCATATAAAATAATGGTATATCTTACAATTAGTGGTGTCTTAGATTAAATAATATATAGCTCAGTAGGGATGGTAGGTCACTGTGGATGGTGCACCTGGTGTAAATATGTCCAGAGATGTGGGGGCAGGACCAGTCATGAAGAACTTTGTGTACCAGTGGGATTTGGTTTCATGCTCTTGGTGAGAACCATGGAGGAAGGTGGCTAGCTTTTCCTAGCAGAAAGAGTACTCAAGAAGAAGTGAGAAAGGTGGATTGGAAGAGAGTTTGCATACAACTAGGCAGGTGATTGCCCAGTTCGGGAGAGGAATAATGAGTAGTAGCAGGTGACTCTACTGAGGGGCACAGAAATCGGCCATGCAGTGCATAGTCTCTGCTAACGCTGAAATGAGCCACATAACTTGGTGAAACTTTCCACACATTTCTCCGTTAACATCGCTATGCATGGGATCATCAACAAATCATGCAGATTTTCTGTCTCTTCTGCTTTATTTTTTTTTCTATTTGACCAGCTGAAAAAGTGGTAATAAAATGTGTGCTTCATTAAAATGTGCTAGTTTAGAGCTTGGAGAATAAAAGTTATTGCAGGCAATGGTTGCCAGACCAATAGTGTTTAGTAATGGCGTGGGAGAAGCATCCTACTTCATCAGCCAGTGCAGCCTCTTCCAAAGTGTTGATCAATACAGGGAATATTTATCAATAGGGGTCTCTAATGCTACCTTAATTTTTAATCAAGCAAGCTCTCATTATTTTCGATTGCATGAAAGTCATTGCCATATGCACTGCATCATTAGTTTAGTGTAATTGTAGTCTTGTATAATTGGATTACATACAATTGTGCTTTCGTTAATTGTATAATAAGGGATTGTGTTTAGTTTCGTGGGTAAATGGTTAAGTTTTTCTTGATTTACCAGGCGCTGTGTCTAACAGAAGGGAAAGCTGCGGCAAGGGACTGTGCTTGAGTCACTATTTCTTGAACTCATATTTAATGTTATCTGAAGAGGGGCAGGAGTTACAAGGGCAGGTGGTTTCTGAATTTGGTGTTTCACTTTTAATGTGTGAATCAGTGTGAACTGGATTTCAGGTTAAGTACAAACTCTTTGCCTTCAAGGAGCTTGCTATTTGGTGGGAGAGAGGAGGGGAATAGGCTGGCAGTGGTTTTCCTTACCCGGACAGCTGTCTGAAAAGCCCACAGAGGACAGCCTGAGAATCTCTTCTTACTCTGAGACTCCTTTCCAATCCCTTGTTACAGGCCGTAGAGACCCAGGTCTCCATCTGCCTCTTTGTGGTTATCCTACCCCTTCTTTTTCTCTCTCAAAGTGAAGTGGGATCCCACCCTGCCAGCTTTTCTTTTATGCTGGCCCCAACGCAGCATCTTACATATTTAAAGAGTCTTAGTGCTGGTCACGTGGGAAAATCTAAAGACATCTAAATCTAAAGACATCTAAAGCAGCATTCCGGCCGGGCACGGTGGCTCACGCCCGTAATTCCAGTACTTTGGGAGGCCACGGCAGGTGGATTAACTGAGGTCAGAAGTTTGAGATCAGCCTGGCCAATATGGTAAAACCCTGTCTCTACTAAAAATACAAAAACAGCCAGGCGTGGTGACACATGTCTAATCTCAGCTTCTTGGGAGGCCGAGAGAGGAGAATCGCTTGAACCCAGGAGATGGAGGTTGCAATGAGCCGAGACGGGTGCCGCTACACTCCAGCCTGGGCGACAGAGTGAGACTCCGTCTCAAAAATAAATAAATAAATAAGTAAATAAATAAATAAGTAGCATTCCTACCTGAGGCACCAATGTTCCAAAATCTCAAGGGCTCCCTCCAGTTTAGTTCCTTTAAGCAACTTCCTTTTGAGGTGGTACCTAAGACCCTGACATCTGCTGCCCGGTTTACACTGTTTACAAACCACCTTTGACATTTCATCCTGAGCAAAAGCGGAAAGGGTCTCTTCTCAGGGATTAAGAAACTTTAACCGATGTGCATCTCAGGGATGGGCAAAATTACCGAATCTTCTGGCTTCTGGGAGGAAAGGAGTTGGAAGAACTGGCCTAGCGCACAGCTCTGGAAGCAGGAAGGTGTTGGTGTTGAGCATCTCCAGTGCCTGGCAGCGCATGGGCAGGATGGGGGAAGGAAGCAGCAGCAATTAGAATAAGGCATTCCTGACCCACACTGTGCCCTGTTCACGGTCCTTCTGAACCTCTAGGACACAGTCTGCAGCTGCTGCCTCTCTTCTGCAGACCAAACCACCAGCCTCATAATTTCTGCACCCTAAGCCCCTGTCCTTCATAATAACCATCTTTCCAGCCTCTTTGACTTGAAGTAGGCAAAACACAATAGTCTAAGCCAGCGGTCCCCAACCTTTTTGGCATTCAGGGACTGGGGGCTTGGGGAGGGATGGTTTTAGGGTGATTCAAGCACGCACATTTATTGTGCACTTGATTTCTATTATTGTTACATTGTGATGTATAATAATTATGCAATTCACCATAATGCAAAGTCAGTGGGAGCCCTGAGCTTGTTTTCCTGCAACTAGATGGTCTCATCTTGGAGTGATTAAAGACGATGACAGATCATCAGGCATTAGATTATCATAAAGAGTGTGCAGCCTAGATCCTTCACATGCAGTTTACAATAGGGTTTGTACTTCTGTGAGAATCTAATCCTGAAGTTGATCTGATAAGAGGCAGAGCTTAGGCAGTAATGTGAGCGACGAGGATTGTCTGTAAGAACAGACGAAGCTTCGCTTGCTCACCCGCTGTTCACCTTCTACTGTTTGTTCCAGTTCCTAAGAAGCCACGGACCAGTACTGGTTCTGGTTTGTGGCCCAGGGCTTGAGGACCCCTGATCTAATCTATCACAGAGGAAAGTCACTTTCAATAAGGCTTCATTCGGTGAACAGCTGTTGATTCACCCTCTGTAGTTCTGTCTTATAGGTAGGCGTTGAGCGAGAGAGTAAGACTGACTTACATCTCTCCCTGAGCAGGATGTGATGCTGTAAAGGCTCTAGAAGCCCTGGGAGTCCAGAGGCACTGATATCCCCACTTTCTAAAAGGGGAAAGCTAAGACCTGGAGACGTATGTCAGTGTTCTCAAGGTCCCACAGGGCCGAAGTTCTGATCAAGAGTCAGGCACTGTGAGTATTCTCTCCCTGGTACTATCTAGCAAAGAGGCACTGATCTGGAAATGGCAGTCACTGTGGGTCCGTGTCTCTAAATGTGTAACCCCATTTTCCAATTGTCGACCTAAAAGGAAAAAGCTGACACAAAATTAATATAAGTAGAGAGTTCATTTGGGCCAAGCTTGCTTGAGGCAATCCAGGAGCACGGATTCAAGTTGCCCTGAATAGACACTTGGATTAGCAGCTGTTGCAACTGGGTTTCTAAAGGCAAATATGAGGACAAGGAGTGAACTGACATAAAGTTCTGCCAGGAATTCTCAATGGTTTACAGGTGACAGATTTGATTAGCGATTGGTTGTATATTGTTAAGCTGTAGGGTGTGGGTTGTAGTGTGTCCAGTGCAGCATGATTAGATTAACAACAAGCAGTTCCAAGAGATAAGTACACAGCACAAAGTGGGGGTGTCGAGTATGACTGGGGTGTCCTTTTAATGTTTCATGGGCCTGATCAGTAAAAGGACTTGCATTCCTCACATAAAAGTTGTTTTCTTTTCTCATGCTCAACCAGATCGAATTTTCAAGAATATGCAATATGTCAGATTCTTTGTAACATTTATGTGCCTAATGCAATTCCTTCCATGAGGGGACGTTCAGAGTGATATGCAATGTCTAGCAGGGCCTGAGTGGAGTAAGGTGAGCCAGGTTCAAAGAGTCTCCGCCCCACGTCCATGTAGATGATTCCCAGTCAATTTCAGGAGCCGTGTCCAGTCCTGTGAAGTTCA